GTACAGGTATTTTACTAGAAAATATAGGTCAAGTTCGAATTTGGTCATGGTCCGATGATTTTTGACAGAGTTATCCCTCTTGAACTTACAAAAAAATTAAAAAAAAATTCAGTTTCCGCTCTCTTACTTTTGTAGGGACTTGGCTATGATATTAGTTGACCAAATCGATCTAAACAAACAATTTCACAAAACATTCAAATTGCCATCTTATGACGCAGTGTCTTAAAAAGTATAAGCATTGCATATAGAGCCACCTTAATAAGGCTCACATTGTATAGTTCTTATCTTGGTTATGCCCCTTGAAGGTAGGAAAAAAATCTTTTGTGCAAACAAATTTAAAACTAAATACGGCATTTGAAATGTTGGCTGCCTGCGGGGGCATTCGTGGTGTTACAAAACATCTAGTTCCGTCCAGCAGTCATAGATACAGTGTACAAGTTATTTGAGGAGAAATGAATGAAAATATTCAGCTTCCATTTTACTTGTAATATAAGTTATTCCTACAAATGTTATCCAGCCTCTTTTTTGTTGATTTTTTGTAGGATTTGATTATATTACTTTCTTTCAGGCAATCACCAAGGATATGTTTGATGATGCCTTGAAGGAGCTGCAGGAAGAAGACTTTTTGATAGTGACCAACAAGCTGATACGACTCTGTCAGTAAGCTGATGAAGGACAACAAAAATACTGTATAATTTATACATGTAGAACAACAACTGTATTATATACAGCAACTCAATTTCCATCTTCAAACAGTGCTTTATGTTTAGTACATTTGTAAATTAATAATCTAGTATCCACTGCTTTGGAAAGTATTTGCATGTTAAATATGAAAATACTATTACAGAAATATAGATAAATTTGTCTAAATATCAACAATGAAGTTGTACGCATTAACTTTAAATGTATGTGTATATCTGTCCTTGTATATTGCCAATGTTATCTTTTTGATTGAATGTTTGTTTTTGTTACACTCTTTTGGGAGACAAAAAGATCCACCAGTTGTGTTCAGTTGTACATAGATTAAAACCTCAAATGAAATTGTATTCTTGCTGCATTCTGTATATACTTTGAGCTTTATAATAAGGAGGGCTTCATTAGTTGAATCAGTTCTCTACTATGGATTAATTTTTGCAGTAAAAGGAAATTGTTGAAAAGCACTTTGATTTTGTATTACCTGATGATTAGTGTGCTCGCACATTATTACTGAGTATTGTGATAATATGTGGTGTCTTTATTGGTGTTGGTGCCTTTGCCGCTTAGTTCTTAAAATTTTTATAAGTCTTATATGTAGACTTAAATAATGCTTCAAACTACACAGATAAAAGTGCTATGTACCACAACATATATATTACTCAAGTTCTACATGATCGGAAAGGTATGTTCATCTGAAAAATTTGTATATCTTATTCATGAATATTTCTGCATATATCAAATGTAAAATTTGATGTTTAACATAGGTTTGAATCGGTTGATTAGCATACAAGTTAATTGTTGACATGTTCCAACACATAAACATTTAAAAAGAGTATGTGAGAGTGAAATATTTTCATTACTGTATTTTTAGATAGCAGTGTTTTTTTGCTGCATGAACCACTGCCTTTGAATTCACTGCCAGCAAATGAATGGCATTATTTTCATAAAAATCTTTTTATACATGAACATGTATGTAAACTAATGTACCTTGATAACAATGAAATAAAATTATGAACAAATCATATACATGTATTTGTTATGTTTGCATGGATCTTCTAACTCTTGAATTGTTAGCTTAGCAAGGAAGGTTTTTACAAAATGGTCAATATGCCAGCTTTTATTTTTATGTTCCTGTAATCGGAGATTCTGGGGCATATAGTTTTTGGTCTGTCCATCTCTGTCTGCAATAGCTTTATCCTTCGCCATAAATTTTGGACAGTTGGGTTAGGGCTTTCCTATTTCACATGTGTATTGATTGTAACAAGACCTTTCTTTGGATACTAAATTTTTGATCTCATGAACGTTCCGATGGAGTTGGACTTACTTTTAACTAGAAATATGTCCATAGGACATGAATGCCCCGCCCAGGGTTCATTGGTAATGCAACTTGAAAATATGTATTAGTGTATGAAATTTTTAAAAATATCTTGAATAGTTTAAAACTAATGTTGTATTTAGCATTGAGTTCTTATTTTTGGATGTTGTTGGTCCTATAACTGGCCTAGTTTCTTTAACATTTTATTAAGCATTGAATTGCAGCTGCTCATGCTGAAAAATACAATATCATGCGTTAGTGTATGAAGTTTGATAAAAATACCTTGAATAGTTTCTTCGAAACTTATAGTTTAACACAAGTTTAAGAATAGTGAAGTCAAAAGGAAAGGTCAAGGTCACAAAATTTGCAGGAAGACCAATAGATCTAACTAGTATGTATCGGCATGTAAGGTTTGATGAAAATATCTTGATTAGAGATGAGATAAATACTAGCTTAAGAAAAGTGAGGTCAAGGGGAAAAAAGTTGATGCAGTTGAATAGCTTTCATCAGTATTTATCCGCATATAAGTTTGATGAGAGTATCTTGAATAGTTTCGTTAAAACTGACCTAAATGCAGTGTGATGGAAGGAAAAATGGAGGGACAAAAGTTGGACATGACAAACAATATATACCCTGGCCATATTCTTGGCAGGGCTTAAAATACCTGTAACCTTGGCCATAACTTCTGCATAGTTGGTGCGAGGGTTTCCAGAATTGTGTGTATTCCATTTGAATAGGTCTTTCTTTAGGTATCAACATTTTTTACCTCGTGACTTTGACCTACTTTCGAAAAAGTGTATACGGCATTTGCTGCCATATAGGGGCATCAGTATATCACAAACACTTATTTTCAAGCACTGGAGCCAGAAAATGAGCATTGTAAATGTCTATATATAACCTATAAAGGGGGTTGGAAAGGGCTGAAATGGGGATTAAATTTTGAATTACTGTAGATCACTTTATTTTCGCAAGATAAGTTATTGCTATTTATTAGCAAGACAAAATTTTTGCAAGTTATGGTTTTTGTCGTATATAATTCATAACAATACAAATATATATGAGAATGAAATTTTCACGAGCAGACAAACTCACGTTATTGCGCGAAAATAAAGTTCTCGCTTAGAAAAAGTGATTTTTAGTAGAATATATTGTGAAAAATCTTTTTCTTGAGGATAGCAAGGCCATGATTGATATGCAGGCATCCTCAGGTATGCCCTAATTATGGCACTGATGTTGTTTAGATTTTTCTTATAAATTCCCAAGTAAAACTTTTAGAAGTCACTTGGTCTCACCCATTTAAATTTCCAAAGCTTCTTGTCTGTACGTCAGTGTTTCTTTTGTCAACATGGTATTTGACCTTGATTTTCCTTCAATATGAATATTGTTGTTAATTAAAACCAAAAAAAAAGTCCCATAATTTATTAGGTCACCTGAGTCACTCAGGTGACCTATTGCTATCTGTTTTCGTCCGTTGTCGTCTGGGTGTGCGTCGTGCGGGTGTGCGTCATCCATAAACTTTTTCACATTTTTGACTTCTTCTCAAGAACCACTGGACCAATTTCAACCAAACTTGCCACAAAGTATCTTTGGGTAATGATGATTCAAGTTTGTTCAAATGAAGGGCCAATCCTTTTTCCAAGAGGAGATAATTAAGAATTAGTGAAAAATTAATGGCATCTTTTATAAATCTTCTTAAGAACCACTGGGCCAAGAAAGATGAAACTTACATGGAAAACTCCTCAGATAGTGTAGATTCAAGTTTGTTCAAATCATGACCCCCGGGGGTAGGATGGGGCCACAATGGACGATCAAAGTTTTACATAGGAATACATAGGAAAAATCTTTTAAAATCTTCTTCTCCAGAACCACTGGGCCAAGAAAGATGAAACTTGTGTGCAAACATCCTCAGGTAGTGTAGATTCAAATTTGTTCAAATCATGACCCCCTGGGGAAGGGCGGGGCCATAATGAATGATCAAAATTTTACATGGGAATACACTGGAAAAAACTTCTCCTCCAGAACCATAGGGCCAAGAAAGATGAAACTTATGTGGAAACATCTTCAGGTAGTGTAGATTCAAGTTTGTTTAAATCGTGATCCCCGGGGGTAGGGTGGGGCCACAATTGACAATGAAAATTCTACATTGGAATACACTGAAAAATCTTTAAAAAAATTCTTTTCTCAAAAACAGCAAAGCCATGATTGGTTATATTTACATGGAAGCATCCTCAGATATAGTATAGATTCTACTTTGTTCAAATCATGACTCTTGGGATAGAGTGGGGCCACAATGGACATTCAAAGATTTACACATGAATACATATGGAAAATCTTTAACAATCTTCTTCTCAAGAATAGCAAAGCCATGATTTGTCTTATTTATATGGAAGCATCTTTGGGTAATGCTAATTCATATTTGTTCAAATCTTGACCCCCTGGGGTAGGGAGGGGGCACAACAGGTGATCAAAGTTTTAGTTAGGAATATATAGGAAAGATCATTTAAAAATCTTCTCAAAAACAACAAAGCCATGATAAGTCATTTTAATATAATTTAATTTTGGTTGTAACGCATCATTTGATTGGATAAAAAATTAATATATATTGTATAACCTGGGTTTGTTTTTGCAGCTTTCAATTAATACTCTATGGATCCTCTATGGATTGTTGTTTAATACTCAGGTGACCATTAAGGCCCTTGGGCCTCTTGTTTTTGTACATATTCTGTATAATGGATATTTATTTTTGTCAGAAAAATATGTTTCATTAGACCAAGTGACTAAGTTTGGTGTGACATGCATATAAGTATGCCACGGCTTAATAATGTCCAAAACTCCAAACCATAAATGATATTGGAATGGAGTCTGACAAGTAATTGGATATATTAACAGACAGCATTCCTACAAACTAAACAATATACCCACACTTTTTAACCCTGGGACATAAAGATCATCACACAACATTCCCTTCATAACACAACTAACTCCAATCTCAGGATCACTTTTAATTAACTCATACATTTTCTGAAGTATTTAACCAATCCAAAACTATGGAAAATAAAACAAATTTTGGTAAATGTTTACATTTGACCAACTAACAATTACAGCTGTACAGATCATCAGTTTCTCAACTGTTGAGTACATGTCATTACTGGTATCCCTGGAAAAGTGTACAATAATGTATCTGGTTTAAAGTACAATGAGATAGTGATAAAAGTTTGAATTAAAATACCAATTGAATTCAGGTTATTAAAATACAAATTTCTATTTTTCTAGGAATATTCACTCTTACAACAAAGTAGAAAAAGAAGACAACTGAAATAGGATTGACTCGTATAAATAATTTGTTCAATATAGGGACTTATCAATACAGGTTATCACAGCTTGGTATGAAATGGAAAGTTTGCCAACAAGAAAGACATCGATTGTATGTCCACATTTACAAAATAATAATCAACACTGAATGACTAGGTATTCCAAAAATTAAAAAAAATTATTCAATATTATGGATTGGACAATAGACATGCAGTTCCCTGCCACATGACTACATTCATGCGTAAAATTAAAGCATATACATTGTTACAAGTAAAAATGGAAATGGAAAAATGTCTACTGATAAAGATACAAATCAAATGCCAGTGAAAACAATTTGATGCTGAAGAATTAACATTTTTTGTCATATTTTTCTATTAATAACGTATTAACTGTACAGAATATGGTTTCCCCCCTACATAATAAGCACCAAATTGTGGCTAAAATGGGTTTTCTAAAACAATAATAAAAAGTTTAAAGCAAATATTGGGAATATTGGGAATGGACAACACCACACAGCACTTTTCACTCAATAAAATGTCCACCTAAACAGGGCTCTCGATTCTCTATAATTGGGGCCGTTTAAAGGCCCCATTCCCAATTCAAAAAAGGTACCTTTTTTCCCAATTTAATGTTTTAATTTTCCCAGTTGGTCACTTCCCCAAATATTAAAGAACATTTAGTAAAATATTTAGTTGATAACTACCACCAGAAACTCAATATATAATGAATTTAATGGATGTTGTCTAGTTATGATTTTCCCAAATTTCCTCAAAAGGTCACTAATTTTCCCAATTTTCACAGCCCCAGCCCCAGTCCCAAAAACTGGTGTGAGAGCCCTGCTAAAACAGGGGAAAAAAATCTACTTCTTAGGTAAAACCAAGAAAATGTTTGGCACAAACTGTCTATGGCATAAATAGAATACCCAGTGTGTAAAACAACAACCACAATAAAAACAGAATTCCTTTGCTGCACTGACAATGCATGTACAATTGCTGAATATTTGTTGTAGATTATTTGATTTTCTGAGGAAACCAGTTCCCCAAAAAGTTCAACACCAGACACAGCCTAGTTAAAAAAACACATTTGTACTGTCATAATTACCCTTTATGGAATGCATCAAGTTACAAAATGAACATTATATTACTCTGTTACAGTATAAAACCAAGGGCCTCTGTCCCACTACATTGTAAATTGTATGCTATATACAATATGGAATGTAGTTCATCAAAGCCTTCATTAATTCATTGTTATAGAAAACACAATCATCAGTAACAAAAAAAAAAACAATGTAACACCATAATTGCATAGATATAGGTAGTATAAAATACATATCGCTTTGTTCACATACTATACTAAGCCTTATTCCTATAGAATTATTTTAAGATGTGAAGATCCTGATCGACGGACGATGACCCACCAGCCCATGGAATCACAGCGTATGGAGATCTGTGTGTCTGTTCCCCTGAGAACAATGAACACTAGAGTACCATGATTTAGCATTGCTAGCTCTAAGTCAGATATAGGTTTGCAGTTTTCCGCTACATGGCTACAGAGAGACTCCTGTCATGGAACTGTTTCTCTCACTTGTCCTGGATTTTCAGCTGTTCAATTTTCACTAGTCCTCTCTTTGACCCTACCCGGAATTTAGCCAAGTCCTTCCTTGTTACTATACCCACAGGCTGTTCAGTATAAATATTATATTCAGTAATTAACTTATATATTACAGTTTCAAAGTATGCATGTTAATGAAATGCAAATTAGATCATGAGCATTAAATACCCATATATCTGTAATAAAACTGTCCATGCCCTCACCAAAGTATACCATTGAAAAGCACATGGACCTACCTATCCATTTGCTAGTGTCTTACAAACATGTGCAAGTTAACTTACCACATTATTTTCATCTGTGACGATGAGATGCCGAAGTCCAAGACCCCTGAAGAGGTTGAACACACGGGGCAGTGAGAATTTCTGTTCCACAGTGTAGGGGGAGGGGTTATAGTATGGCTTCAGATCCATAACATATGTCATCTCCTCCTCTGATAATTCTATTTCCTAGGAAATAAAACGTACATTCGCTATTTTAACTTACAGATGCATATTTTCCATCTTCATTTGTCAAAGGAAAATAAGAGGGTAAGTGGTTTTACCCATATAAAACAATGAAACAAGTTTTGATGTTCATTTGAGGTATTTCAATAACTGTCAACATTATCTTATAACTGACTTTATACATCACGATACTTATGGCTTTTAGACACTTACTGAAACTTTCAGATACACCGGATAGAAATCTCGGAAGTCCTTGATGGTTATATTTCTTGGTGGTACCTGGCCCTCTGGACAGAATATCTGACAATTTACAGATATGAATCATTATTAAAATTCTTTCTGAAGCCAAATCAGAGTTTACTTCTATGATAGAAACTACAAGTTCAATAACCATGTATTATTGTTCTTTGATATACACTTCAGCCATGAACTTATTTCCTGGTAACATTGCTTTATACATCCAGAATTCAAATACATGTATATTTGTGTATCTTTGTAATAAATCAAAACTCTCTATCACTGTATCCTGCAAAACAAACCTTTTTCTTCAGTAGAACCAGTAGCTGATTCCTGAGAATAAGTCCCTTTAGCTTGCCTTTACCTGGGGTCTAAAATAACCCAGAAGAAAATTAATTACTATGATTACAGTTAATTACAAATAATTATTTCATCATTCTGTGCACATCTACACAATGATGGGCTGCTCTTAAGCAAAGTGCTCAAAGTTAATTTTGAATAAACATTTTCTTTACTTTTTTCTTTGAAGAGAGACAAGTCCAATAATCAAACTACAAAAACAAAAATTCCCATTTGGGAAAAAAAAAATAAATGAACAAAATAAAAAATGATCAGTTGTCTGACTGTGAAAAAAGAATATTAACCCTAGGATCATCTTCAATGACAGGAAATCCACAAAATGTCTCTTCCTTCAACATCCTGTAAATGTTCTCCACTTTTTCCTTTGTTTTAAAAGTGGCAAGTGGAGCATTCATGACATCACTACAATGAATGTGTATACAATGTATATCATAACCATGAGATAATCTTGGTCCCAAAAAATTTAAGTGGCAAGAGAATTTCCAGGACCCCCGTTTACTACCTTTCATGTACATGTAGCTAATCCACAATTATCTCCAAAAATACTCTTCATTCACACATAGCACATTTTATTTGCCTGATTATGATGACCCTTAAAATAGCAATACAGTACATGTGCAACGTGAAGCTGTCACCCACCCATGGGCTCTACAGACGTCAAAGCTTAATAATTTGCCTGAAATCAAGGAAGACTCTACCGCATTAGAAAAGCTAGTTTACTAGCGAGGCAGAATAAGTTCCCTATAAACTGTCTGCTACTTATGTATATTCTCTTACGGGTGACCACAATCAAGCAAGCTTTATGATTGTGTCTCAATCAACCGAAAATTTTCTTTCTTTTCTTTGAAGCTATGGACTATGATTTGATTTTAAGACCTGTTTGGATCTAATAGAATGAGATGATCTTGTGCAATTCCATCTTAAGAGAAACTGCATTTACAATGGTACCTTTTTGGTAATATCTCTACTTTGAATATAAGTGTTAAAGCTTCAACACAATGTACAATATATACAATCTGAGATGCTTGAGAATCTAAGGAGAGTGGGAGTAGTCAAATTAGCCCAGACCAAAGTCATGTATAAACAATCTCCATTTAAACTTTAGATACATTTAAGGCAAGAGACCCATGGGCCACATTGCTCACTTGAGCACTTTGGTTAGAGCAATAATCAGTTCAGTACTAAAAAGTTTAAATATATATATTAAGTGGTCCCACCCTAACCCTAACTGTTGATTTGAACAAGCTTGCTTCCATATTAATGACTAATCATGACTTTGCTGTTCTTCTTCAGATTTCTGAAGATTTTGTCCTATATATTCCTATGTATAACTTTGATTCCATGTTGTGGCCCTACCCTACCCCCAGGGGTCATGATTTGAACAAACTTAAATCTACACTACCTGAGAATTCTTAATATTACTAAACATGACTTTACTCTTCTTGAGAAGAAGATTTTTAAAGATATCTATATGTTCCTGTGTATATAACATTGATCCCTTGAGGATGCTTCTGTATTAATATTGTTAATCACAGCTTTGCTTGTCATCAAAAGATGATTTTAAAGATATTTTCCTATATATTCCTATGTATAACTTTGATTCCCTGTTCCCTAAACAAACTTCAATCTACACTATGTAATGAAGCTTACACATAAGTTTCAACTTTTCTGACCCAGTGGTTTTGAGAAGAATATTCTTGAAAGTTGCCATTTAATTTTCAATAATTCCTTATAATCTCCCCTTGAAAGAGGGGCGGCCCTTCATCTGAACAAACTTGAATCCCCTTTACCCAAGGATACTTTGTGGCAAATTTGGTTAAAACTGACCATCTGGAGAAGAAGATGAAAATGTGACAACAACAGTAGACAACTGACAAATTTTGATCAGAAGAATTCACTTGATCCTTCAGTCGGGTATGCTAAAAAGTGATAAGACTACATGTATTACAAGACTAACCTTGCTCTGAGGTCGTCACACAGTGGCGGACACTCAAACGGTAGTGTAGGAAGGCCCATCACCTCAACATTCATGTCATACAAACCCTGCCATTGACAAAAAGAACATATGTAAGATTAACCATTTTAACAGGGCTGTCTAAAAAAAAAATAGTGGACACATGCCATGGCAAATCTTTATATAGACCAGGTGTGAGTAAATTTATAAAAAATCAAACAAAAACAATATTTTACAAATATTATCAGAGATTTGTAAATCTTTCATGTTTGGGGACACATGCTACTTTTATTTATATCGACCACACTGCTAAAACCCCAAACAATTAATTAATATGGTTTAACTTTTTTTGGTCATCTTTGCTCATTTCTCTGTTAGTTATTTATGACTGAAAAGAATTTTACACTTTTCCTTCCAATGACTTTGTCCTCGTCAAAATGGCCTTGTTTCACTGTTGTAACTGATCTTTAAGTCACAAGCAGCCATTGGACTAATGTAAGCATCATATATATATTTCTGCACATCTTCGTTATTGACAAGTAGAGATTATTGGATAGAATTCATACACAACTGTAAGCCCTTAACTTCATTTGCTGAAAGGGATGGGGTGGGGGGTCAGAGGAATGATTTATCAAATAAACATACCAGTATATGCATGAGCATCAAAGTCAAAGGAATTCCAGACATAAGTTCCACTTAGCCCCAACCATACTGCCTATATTCTTGGGTCATGCAAAAATAATTTTGTGGAGGGTTTATTTTTCCATCATCATCAAATATACAATCTAAGTAGTAAGGAAAATTATGATGGAAGATACAATGTATTTTTATTCTATGCCCATCATAAGTCTGCCTGAAATCTGAACCCTGCACTATGAGGTCATGAATTTCATAATTCTGTAGGGCTCATTGTTCATTACAATCATCATGCTAACGGATTGTCCATTATGTGCCTTAGAGATAAAATCACTTTTTTTTTTCAGAATTGCAGAGATTTTGGTGGTTTTATCCCCATCACTTAGACAAAAAAGGGAAGGGATTTTATAATAATAATATTTATAACCTATCACCCAACACTTAATGAAACTGTTTCCCCATTTCAGAGAAGAAACTGAGAATGTTCAAAAATTTACCCACCAAATATTCACAGACAAATCAAGGAAACAATAGGTAAACCGAGTGACCCTGGAGGCATTAAAATGATATACTATAACTTACAGTGGTGATGAAATCTCCAACCCACTTAGAAATCATGAGGACAATCATGATGGGAAGTCCAAATGAAATGTCATCTGTACATTCCACGATAATGACAGTGAGACTGATGGTAGTTCTCAGGATACCACCCAGCTGACAGGCTGCACCAATCAGAGCAAACTTACCAACATCTAGTTGCTATTGTTAAAAAAAAAAGGAAATTGAAGTATAGATGTCAATTTAATAACAAAAGAAATGATGATCATATAAAATTGATGATGTCTTTGTATAATATAATGACTTCAAAAATTCAGATCTTTGTAAAACAAAAAAAAAAGAAGATTTTTTCCTTATATTTGCTTTATCATTATTTTACATTTTTCAATGCTTTAACAATTTTGATAATTTAATATAAAATAATCTTCTCAAAGAAAATTATATGTTATAAATACACTTGAAGAATTTTAAAATCCCTAAGAAATAGAAATGCATGAAGATTATGTAGTGAGATACGAAATAAATGCAATCATGCTGCTACAAAAGTATACAATATGTACATTGTATAAATGACTACTAAGTGAATTTGATTCCTTATAAAGTGATTTGTTTAATTCTCAATGTCTATTAATGCAATAACTGTAAAATAACAATAAATAACAAATACAATAAAACGAGTTATAACTAAAGTACATGTATCTCAATTTGTCCTCCAGAAGCAAAAAAAATGTAAGTATATGGGAAATATCATCCGAGTAATGACTGGATATTTATCTTACTGTAAAATGTGTGAATACAGTACTTTATTAGTGTTGTTCTTATGAAGTATCATATTTTACTGTTTAACCTTACTGCTGGCTAAGCTTAGCTTATAATGCAATGTTTCAAAGAAATTTTAATTACATAACTACAATTGTACATGATGATGGTTCCATATACCCGGTACTTTTGATTTAATGTCATCCTAGTCATTCTTCATTAAAAGATTTTTTGAATAATTTTCTATCGTATTTCATGTAAAACTTCAAAGGCAACTTTTGACCCATCATAATCTAAGCCATATGATACGAAGAAAACTAATATGCACTCGATAACAAAGTTTTGTTTTTTTTCTAGGTTTTTGCTAGTAAATTCTCATAAATCTGAAAATTCACTCCTTTGAACAACTAACTCTCCCTCAAAGTATTCTATCAGCTAAACGTGACGAGGTCTATTGAAAACTTTACAGACTGTAATCTTGTTCAGAAACATATTAACAAAACCAAAAACACAAATCTCCTTGGTGCCAGTGATCACAAGAATTATCTTTAAATAAATTCAGAAAAAGTAAAATAATTTAAAAAAAATTATACTATATATAAAGGCTCACATCAATAACATACATACCTATACAGATGTAAGAGATAAATATATTGATACTATCAGACTAATCTTTAAGTCATTTCAGCTGACAACAAATATAATGGCAGTATATGTACTGATTTGAAAAGAAAGTAATCTAATACTACATCAAAAAAAGGCATCAGAAAGCAATGCATTTAAACAGGGTACCATTCCTCTAACAAGAAACAGCATTTCTTTTCCCATGGTACTCACAACACTGTTTTAGAAGCACACATACACACACCACTGTTAATATACCCCTCCTTGATGTTAAACCAATTCCTTCTCTTAAACAAGTTTTTGTTTTGCTCACCCATCCATTCATTAAGAAATTCAATATTAGTTGCTTTTACATAACTGGTTTCAGCTAATATTGTTTTACGTCTTTTTCTTCAATGAAGAATTAGTAACTAAGCAAAACTTTCATGCACAATCAGCCAATTTTATAGATCAATAATGCATGGTCAAGCAACATTTACACTTCAGCAATCAGTTTTAGTGTTATGTTACATGTAGTAGTTTTTCTCCTTGTATCATTTTCCTCTTGCATAATAGTTTTCCTTGTATTTTAGTTTTGTTCAATGTATATGTTTCTTTTACAATAAGCACTTAGTTATTCAATTCTCTTAACTATAATGCATATATAAATTTTTTTGTTAACCGTTAGCTGGCATTTCTTAAAATTTTTGATTTTTTTTTTTATTCAAAAATTTATTTAAATTTCATTCAAGGAAATTATACACATCCTAAGGAGTCAAACAATGAGCCAAATCATTCATTCCATTTGTATCAATGGTAATGAAAAACTACATTTTGAGAATATGTACTAGACTTGCAATATATAGTGCAGTTGAACTTTTTCTGACCACATTTTGGTAAATATTTATTTTAAAAAAAAATCTTTAAATGATTTTGAACAATAAAAAAAAAAACACTTGTCATTGAAGATTCTTCCCCTCCTTCAGTTCAGAAAACTAGTGACACATTTTACACAGAAAATGAACAAAACAGAAAACTCCCACATAGTATGATTTTTCTTACCTTTATCAGTGAGCTATTGGCTGCCTTATGTGTATAGTAACTAAAGTTATTATATATTCTGTAAATCATTATACAAGTTTTGCTTAATATACCACCATTAAGAAAATTCTATATACAGTCAAACCTCGTTATCTTGAACTCAATGGGACCAAGAAAAAACGTCGAGATATGAGGATTCAAATACTTAAAGAATAAGTGTTTGGGACTTCCAATGCACTTCGACGTATCCACAGTTTTTGAGTTATCATTGTTTGAGATAATGAAGTTCAACTGTATACTAACTCAACTTGTACACCCTATCTTTTATGACAGGGTACTATGAAAATATATTTCTGTATCATTTAATTCCTTTTCCAATCTATATTGCAATTTTACATGTACAAATGTATACTTTCATTTTTTTCACATACAGTAAAACACACTTAAAGCAAAGTTCTAGGGACGTCCAATTTTGATTTGTTATAAAAGTAATTCATTATATCTGTTAAGACTACAATATTTTTTAAAACGGCAGGACGTGAATTCACTATAAGCATGTTTTATAACCATGTTTTACTGTATATGAAAGAATTCAGGCACACATATATTGAGTGAAAAATCACTTGTCAACTGGCTGCTTCTAGAACTGCTAAACTGAACCCCCCCCCCCCCCCCCCAAAAAAAAAGAACTTCATATCTGGTCATAGGTAATAATTGAATTCCTCTTTCCAAAGTAAAATTTATGATATACATCATTAAATTTGTCAATGCGATAAGATGTACGTGTCAGGAATAGAAAATAAAATGATACAGAAAAATACTGAAACCCTAGTGGTCCTGTAGTAACACTCATCTAACAAAACTGACTTCAAATTCTGAATATTTTTTTAACTAACATCTATAGATATTCCAATGAATAATATGATATGCTATATTTTAAAAAATTAGCCATATTTCACTGAAAATGACTTCAAATTTTAAGAAGTAATTTGGAAATGTTTTCAAAGTTCATATTAAAGTAACTTCAAGCTCCTGTGTAGATTGGATTTATGAAATCACCAAATCATGCAATAACAAGAATAAACAATAAAAATTAGTTATTATTACATATCATAATTACCAGAATTCATTAATTCTTTTTTAGAAAAAATATTAAGATTAGATAAGATGTATCATTAGTATTAACATGGGAAATGTTGAAATTAAATGAAATTAACCAGTAAAGACCCTAAATAATTATCTAAAGCCAACACTCGCTACAGAATTTGTATGGGATAAATGTAGGCAGAATTTTTTCTAAATGTTTATTGTCAAAATTATAATGAAAGCTTTGTATATAAGAAATATATCTTGAGAACTCTATATTTTAATTGAAAGTAGACAAACCATCTCACCAAGAGAAAACAACTCAAAGTGCTGCATTCAAACCATCACATAAAACAGAGGTAACATTTACTTACCAGATTAGGGTTTTCTGGCATCATGTTAGCCACCCCTATACCGACAAGTCTTCCCCAGGCAGCCCCAATAGCCAGACATGGGATAAAGACACCACTGGATACACTCAGTCCATAGGTCCATACCCCAAGTAAGAAGAAGACGAGAATAAAGGCCACTAAACTCACTGGACCATGGCTCTCTACAATAACATTTCACCATTCCATATTTTCTTGAAAATCAAGGTATTCAGTCTTTTGGGTACAATTTATTTTAACAAGAGGCCCAAGGGCCTTAACCGTCACCTGAGTATAATGCAACAATTTAGAGGATCCATAGAGTATAAAATGAACTGAAAGTTGAAGCTTTGTTGCCCAAAAGCAAGAAAAATAGGGTGATCAGGATCAACAAAATAATTAATCTAGTATTCATTAACAGTTCATAAAATAGGTTCTAATCTTTTCCCCATTTATCACTATCACCATACAGTATATTTAATTTAACAAACTATCAGTGCTTCTGTACTATTTTAATTCTGTACTATTTTAATTTCTTGTTGAAATCTCTTACATTGGCCTCTCTTGGTCTTTGAAAAAGACATTTAAAAAGACAAGTTATTTTTGTCTCATTTTTATTTATCTATTACTTACAAGTCTACCTGATCATTAAAACTACGATAGTACTTTCTGTATTATACAATAAAAATTCTTGCATAATTTTCTTATTCTATTAACCTTTTAAGTACATTATTTACAGTGATTAATTATCAAAAGTATATGGCAAAGGGGAATAACTCCTCTCAGTAGAATACAAAGTACTATATGCCAGGACCAGAACACTTGACCAAATGGTCCAGATGTTCAAAAATCTGGTAAAAATACTCTTCCTTATTAAAACTTTTACTCTTTTTGCCCCTGATATGCCCAGGTGCAGAGAAGATTTTTAAAGAAATAATGCATTTCTATTACAGATTCACTATATTATCAATAGAGCCCCCCCCCCCCCCCCCCCTCCTCAGCGAGAAAAACCAGAGCCTCTCACTCTGGGACCAGAAGTTTGCCCATCATAAGTAATCACTTTATCTGCTTAACACTAAGAGCAGACAGGATTATTTAATAGAATTAATGCATTTTCACTATATTATCAAGAGCCCCACCCTTACCCCAGCACATCTGACACAGGGGTCATGCAATTCACTACTCTGGGAGAAGCACTCTTGCTCATCATAACTATACACTTAGCTTCTTTGCTTTTTAACCAGGAGCAGAAAAGAATATTTTCAAAGAAATTTTGCTTTTTCACTATATAATCAATAGAGCCCCCCCCCCCCCACCCCCCTTTTCACCAGAACCCTTGACCCTGGGGCCATGAAATTCACAATTTTTGAAGAGGCATCCTTGCGTATCATAACAATGTACTTAATTTGTTAAAATAATACCCAGGGGCAGAGAAGAAGATTATCAAAGAAATAATTTACCTTCACTATAGGATCTATATAGCCCCATCCTAACACCAGAGCCCCTGATCCTTGGGCTATGAATTTCACAATTTTGGAAGAGGCATCCTTGCTCACCATAACAATGTACTTAGTTTGTTTAAATAATACCCAGGAGCAGAGAAGAAGATTTTTAAACATAAATGCATTTTCACTCTATAATACATAGAGCCCCGCCCTAACATCAGAACCCCTGATCCTGGGGCTATGAATTTCACAATTTTGGTAGAGTCACTCTTGCTTATCATAACTATGCATTTAATTTGTTTAAATAATACCCAGGAGTAGAGAAGAAGATTTTCAAAGAAATAATGCACTTTCACTATATGATCTTTATAGCCCCACCCTAGCACCAGAACCCCTGACCCTGGGGCTATGAATTTCACAATTTTGGTAGAGTCACTCTTGCTTATCATAACTATGTATTTAATTTGTTTAAATAATACCCAGGAGTAGAGAAGAAGATTTTCAAAGAAATAATGCACTTTCACTATATGATCTATATAGCCCTGCCCTAGCACCAGAACCCCTGTCCCTGGGGCTATGAATTTCACAATTTTGGTTGAGTCACTCTTGCTTATCATAAGAATGTATTTAATTTGTTTAAATGATACCCAGGAGTAGAGAAGAAGATTTTCAAAGAAATAATGCACTTTCACTATATGATCTATATAGCCCTGCCCTAGCACCAGAACCCCTGACCCTGGGGCCATTAATTTCACAATTTTGGTAGTCACTCTTGCTTATCATAACTATGTATTCAATTTGTTTCAATAATACCCAGGAGTAGAGAAGAAGATTTTCAAAGAAATAATGCACTTTCACTATATGATCTATATAGCCCCACCCTAGCACCAGAACCCCTGACCCTGGGGTCATGAATTTCACAATTTTGGTAGAGGGCTTAATGCTTATTACAATCATGCCAACAGTTTGACTGCTTGATGTCCAGGAGTAAAGAAGAAGATTTTTAAAGATAGCACTAATTTTGATGGTTTTAGTCCCACCCCTCAGGCCCCAGGGGTGCAGGGACCATAAAATTCACAATTTTTGTACCCCTTCACCCATTGATGCTATATGCCAAAATTGGTTGAAATTGGTTCAGTGGTTCAAGAGAAGAAGCTGAAAATGTTCAAAAGTTTACGACCGACGGACGACGCACGACGGACGAAAACAGATAGCAATAGGTCACCTGAGTGACTCGGGTGACCTAATAAGGAATCAGACTTCAAATAACTGTTTTTCACTAATTTTCAAAAACTGAGCTTTAATTATGAGTTTGACAAAATTAAGGCTCAATACTTTCTACATGACAATTTGAAATTATTTTCTGGATAAAATTTGTAACTTTTTTTGCAAATGGAAAAAACCTTCACCCATGTAACATGACTTTGACTTTTGAAAGCTAAATCATGGTACATTTTTAATCTATGAAAAACAACATATCAGTACTAAAATTGCACTGAAAAAATCAAAAGTGTCTTTTTAGTATTATGAACTTCCAATCCTTCTCCAAAGAGACAATATATGCACTTTTCTGCAAATGAGAATGAAGTTGTCCAAGTGACCCTGAGTCCAATCTTTGACTTACAAACCTAAACTTTGTTTGCAGGGGAGGAAGGAGTATATTTATCTTACCAAATGGATCATGAAGCAGGGCCTTCAGACACCCCTCTGGTGTAGTAAGAAATAATGTGGACAAACTGTTATGTTTCTTATCTGAACAGTACACCTGAAAATGACAAACTTGTATCATTTTTCACACAAACTTAATCAGTTTGCAGGATTCCCAAAAGACAATACAATGTGTAATCTAGTGTTTTAATAGTAGTTTTACTAGTAAATTTAATCCACGTTACAAAATACCACTTACGGAAGCAGTGACTGCATGGCTGTCAAATGGGGCTTTGTCTGTACATTCGTTGACTCCAACCATCAATCCGAATGCTACTGCAGCAGATACCACTGCCACTAGCCCGGCCTCTATTATTTTTATCCAGTTCTTGTCCAGATACCTGTAGAACACACACCATCAGCCAGTATGTAAACTCATTACATGCAAAGCTTCCAAATAAGGATAATATTTTAATACATAACACTTTGAAGGAGTTGCCTTGCAATTCAATGATTGCAACAATAGGTGTGAGTCCGTGTGACACATCAGTCTCGTAATTTTCATTACTGGAAACATGTACTTGATAAAGATGACAAAATTTATCTGGCAAGAATACGGGCAGAACTTAATTGTGCTGAGAATATTTCAGATTATTGATTGCACAAACAACTCTCATTCAGGTTTCTGTAATAAATCTTTTGATTGCATCTATGAAACACCAAAATGGAATCATTACATACATATTGACTGGCCACTATAAGGACAGTATCAGGTTTATTGTCCCCCAAGACAGCAATTATTACCTGATGATCAGAGAGGGGAAAAAAAGTTCTATCAATCGAGACAATAAATTTGCTTTTGTCCAGCTAGACAGTGATTAGCTGTTTTATCATACTAAAGTAAAACCTAGACCCATGAAATTACTGCAGGAAAATTCAGGCAGCATTATTTAGTTTCAAAGACTTATATTCACCATGAGCAAATAAAATAGAAACTATTTAACAGCAGCTGTAGAAAAGACAAAATAATAGATTTGTTTACCTTTGATTATATAAATATTTTTATTATATTTATTATATTTTTATATTTGAGGTATAAAAGCAAGATTGCAGGGTGACATAAACAACTAGGTGTTGATATGACAGAGTAATTCCTTCACCATGTCAAATGTTTACATTTCAACTTTCAAAAGCAGTGTTTAAATACAACTATGACACTCATTCAAGAAGTATTAAAATGATAACACAGAAAATGATATTTACCTTTTTCGAAAAACTGTGAGTTTATAATTCATCACAACAAAGAGGGCACCAGTTAACCCACCTGTCAATAAAGGTAACATTTATAATTAAAAAGAAAAAAAATTCTCAAAAAGACCTAATTATTATGAATGTTGATTATACTAAACTGAGCATCATGCTTACAAATAATATTCACTCTGCACTGAAGTGTTAACAATGTATATACATGTATATAAGCACAGTATAAAAAGCATTAATAATTTTAATAACTTTAAAATATATTTTTCTTGGTAAAAACAAGAAACATAATGGTGCATTTATCAAAGATAATACAGCTACCAATACATGAACAACTGCACCAAAACGATTCAGATTTGAAAGTGCATAATACCGTTACTATTGAATTGTTAGTTGTGTATGCCTAAAACATTATTCAATTACCTATCACTGCCATGAATATAAAGACTGGAATTTCAATCAGGTCAAACTTTAAATCCTAAAATGAAAAAAGTCTATTTCATACTACATAGCAAATCAAACACTTAAAAAACTGATAAGATTCATGCCAATTATGTCATTCAATTCCTTACTTAAAGAAAAAAGTTTCAAATTACCATGAAAGCACTTACAAATCACAGTTACTTTTATACAAGGTACAAGCATTTGCTTTTACAATGTGATTTTTAATTTAATACATGAATTATATACTCATCATCATGTAGACTTACAAACTTAAAGGCATTGAATCGGACCAAGCCTGGGTCTGCTAACTTTGTGGGATCTCCATTTATGGCACTGATTAGAAAGTTTGTGGCAAAACAAGCTACCATTGAGGAGAAAAACTGTAAGGAAGTAAAAGTACTTCTACATGCTGTCAAAAATTATATGATCAGTTTCTTAATTTAATGTCCATAGCATGCTTATTGTCTATAAAGAAAATCTGAAGCATAGTGAACTTGCCTTCTCGTAAATATTGAACATGTGCGTGTATGAATTGTAATGGTCCATTCTAAGTACAATTACGCCTAAAGGCCCAGGCTGATTTTGATCATTTGAAAAGAGTAAATCAATAAAATTTTCATATTCAGTATAATAAAGTGATGACTGCACAGCTGACTTACAACTCTCCATGTAAGGTCTTGATTCCAAAAGCTGGCAGCTTCCTCTAAACTAAAGAGCGTTCCCCCAATAGGGGCACCAAAGGCTGAGGACACTCCCGAGGCTGCACCCCCAGCAACAAAATCTCGGATCTCATGATCATTGCGAAAGACTGAATAGAACTGTTGAACAAATTAAGCTATATAACTATTTGTTATTTACTTGCATTAAAAATAATAAAAATGTAGTTGGTTCTTACAAAAAAAAAATATGGTAATATTTCATTTATAAAACATTCCTCATTCATTAACATTTGTTTGAAATTACTTACACTGAGAGTCTTCCCATTGCAAAAATTAATTCTTCCTCTTCCAAACCCTGCTGCTATAATGCTGCCAGAGTGGGCCATGGGGCCTTCCTACAACAAATTAACTATATTTAGTCCATTTCCTTTCTAATGAATACAGTTATAGTAAACATCTGAAAAATAATTCCTCAAAAAGAAATTAGAACAGGATTGGAATAGACCTTTGGCATTCACTGCAACTATGTTTCACTGTAAACGAAATATCTGCATGTAGATGAATTCTCCTCAATTTTTCTAATTTAAGGAGGGATTTTCAGGTTTGAACTGGCTTATTAAAATATATTCAAAGTGTATTTCCATAAATGTACTTTTTATTGAAATATATTTCAAAATTAAAAGATCATGATTTTTCTTTCCCCCTTTATCTGTATATAACTTCTTCACCATATGTGAAAAAAAAGAAAGATTTAAAAATACAAGAAGCATAGGAAAAAAATAATATTCCTTAAAAATCAATAAAATTAGAGGAAATTCAGGTTGGGTGATATCTATTTTTGTTGAATTATTTATCTCAATTTGGTGGTGTTATTTGATAACTTGAAATATACAGAACAATGCCCCAACCAACCACTCACTGACAAATTATGTGCTTGGTTCTAGGCCATTATAAAAAAAAGAAAACAACTTAAAACTGTAAAGCAGATTATTTTGGATGACGTAAAATTTCATGGATTCTAAACAAGAAGGCGCATCATTAAAATTAAAATTGTTTTTTTTTTCAAAATTCATGAAAATAACAACTAAATCTATATTAATATTAATTAAAAAAGGCCACATAAAATTTCATTTTTCATTCATAGTTTTTCAATAATGTTCTATAAAGTGATAAACATACTTAAGTAAACAGAGATGACAGAGCTCACCTCAACGAATGTTATCTTTATTAAGTATTAGGCAAAGTCACACAGTAAACTTTAACCTGGTCACTCATCCAAAAAATATAGGTCAGATGCAACATCCAAAGCAAGCCTGGTAGTGTGCATCTTTGGATTTATCATCCATACAAGTTTGGTCAACATAGGACTGATAGTTATTTTAGAATGAACCTGCTCCGAAAACTTTATCTTGGTCATTCATCAGGAATAAAGAGGTTAAATTCAGCATCCAAAGCAAGCCTGGTAGTGTGCATCCTTAGATTTATCATCCATGAAAGTTTGGTCAATAACTTATAGTTACTTGGAAATGAGACCTGCTCCAAAAAGTTTAACCTGCTCAAAAAACTTTAAATTGCTCCAAAAACATTAACCTGGTCCTTCTTTGGCTGAAACTGCAGCATCTAAAACCTAGTATAATGAAACATACAACAAAAATGGTCCATGGATCTCTGATTGATATAAGGCAAAGAAACCTGCTCCAAAAATTTTAACCTGGGATTTTGATACCGAGGGTTTTACGTAAGCTCCCCCCCCCCCCCCCAACTTCGTTGAGGTGAGCTAAAAAATATATGCATCATTTACAACCAAAATATATACCACGCATCCTTTTCTTTTTGTTTGTAGCATGTGACCTTAGCAGTACCAAATAAAGTATCAACTTGAAACTTTTTTTTCACTGGTGTTACTTTTAGCAATCCAGATTCAATCACTAAAATATGTCAAAATAAGTATCCACCAAAATAACATATTATAATTATGTTGCTTTTTGTACATGTAACTACCACTAACTAAAATATCTGACTTAAATTTTAGCACTGCATCAAGTAAGAAAAACTGGTTAAGAAATCAGATCTCTATAAATCATGTACAGATCAAAATATAATACCGGTACTTCAATATATATTTGTAGCATAAATAATAATAAATAATAATAAATATAATAATAATAGAAGTACATGTATTCACTGTATGTAATAAATACTCACCACCTGCTAAAATAAAGGACTTGGTCAAAGATGAGAATGAGAGAGAGAGAGAGAGAGAGCACATATGATTCGCTATGATTACTGTCTTGTTTTGTTCTTTTTTTTAATGAAACATGCTAACTTTTCATTTACCAGCACCGATTTTCTCTGTGTACAAACATGCAAAATAAGATGATGATAGAAGAATGAATTAGTTGATGGTTGACAATTAACATGCTTTTACAGTTTAATTAAGGTTTTGGGGCTCACATTAATTGATGTCTACAACATACATGTTAACCCTACTGCATCAAGCAGAAAAACTACCTCTTTTTCAGCAAAAAATTGACTTAAAGCTTTGATTTTTTTTTTTCTTAAATATCAAAATTGTAGCTTTAACTACTCATTGTTTGTATAGTTAAGGAAAGACCATAATTTGTTTTACATTGTACATGCTGAATCTTTCAAAGCTGCTAACTTTTTGCTTATTTTACAAACATGTTTCTTAATTAACACAATATTCTGTATGACACACATTTAGCAATGCTGCTTTGAATCATTCAAACAGAGATTTTGTGTGTGCTAAAAATACTATGAAGTCATATTGCTGTATGCAAAAACAAAATCTAAATTTTATAATGAGAATTCCAAGCCAAATTGCCTTCTTTTTTTTTTTTAATTTTAAAATATGTTTCATTAGCTGATTAAAAATGCCTCTAAAATGCTATGTAGACTTTTACCAGGGCTTTCAAAAAGATTAGAAATAGGTGGTACTTTTTCAAAAGTAAGAGGTACCTTAATGTGGAAGTGGTATTAATTTGAAAAATATGTTATAAAATTTTTCTTCGACTAACACTTTGGCCAGTACAATCATGACTTCAGCTGGGTAAAAGTACCCAGTACCAGAAGATTTTGAAAGGCCTGTTTTACATATACATGCTATATATACAATAAATGCTGCATGCTGTTTTTTGTATTAATCTACCTTTTTCCTATTACAGTGGGTTAACATGTATGTCTATCCAGACAAATTCAGTAAATCATTAGTTCCTGATTGAGACATATAATTATAATTACTTACTCTGTGTTGTTGTACTGTTGGACAGAGATAATGAAATTTAGTTCAGTCCAGCATATAAGTACATGTTCTTGTGAATGATATTTCATGGATTAGTGACTCAAGTAATCAAATTATTTCACAAACATAAAACTGTAAAAAGCTCAAGCAATGAAGTGAATAACAAAAGTGAACTATAAGCCTGCAAATAAGCTAAATTATTGTGTGCATTCTCTGTAATAAGTTATTCAATAGTTGTGGGCAAACTACTAAATTTTGCAAAGGTTGTATCCTTGCATTTCAATCAAATATGAATTAATACCCCCCCCCCATTCCCCCTCCCCCACCTCCCAACATAACATGCATAAAGGTATAAAATGTAATGAATAGAAGATTGATTAATTTTAATAAGACTTTTTTTTTGAAATAGCAATTAAAATCAATTTCTTACTTTGCAACAAAATCATCTCTTGCATACTCCATACTTTACCCTTACTTCAATTCCTGATTCTTAATATGATTTATCTAAATTTGATTTCAGATATAACATTGCTATAAATAATCTAGAGTACATGAAGTTTCGTTGTTAAACACTTAAATAGGATCAGATGATATCCTAAATAGAAATCAAAATTGTGTATTAATGTTTCAAAATTCCCCTATATAATGCTATATTGAAAATAATCAGGGTAGGAGTGGTTCTAAGTCTCTGAGATTTTCTGTGTGAACTTTCATTGCTAAATCTTGAATGAGGAAGCTGATAGCCTATCTGCCCAATACTGTACAGTTTAAAAGCTATAAAGAAACCTAGCCTATAGTAGCTTGATTGTATTTATAATGAATCAAAGAAGATGAAAACAAGTTAAGAGTCAAAATATGAAAAAAATTGGGATTGACAAGTCAAAAAGTAGGGAAAAAAGTAGCATTTCACTGTTTCAAACTTCAGCAAACTATTTTAAAACACTACATTTTCAATAATTTTACCTTTCCACAGGCCAGCCCTCCAAGAATGGACAAAACAACACCCACAGTTTTAGCAACAAAGGCTCGGAATGTCAGCAAGCCTGGAATCTTGATCCCATTTAGGTATGACTTAATGTAAGGAATACCACTCCCTGCTGCCAATGGCTGTAAATTCATATTCATATTAAGTCTGTGTTTTTTTACAATATAAATACATAATTCAAACCCCCTTCCATATCTGTACAGTATAGCATACCTGTAAAAATGTGACCAGAGATGCTCCTGCTAATGTTACCACCAAGTTGATGCCCATCCACAGTAAAGCAGGCTGATACAAGCAATTATTTTTGGCACATTCATCAAAATCTTACATTGTCAAAGACAAATTTCTCATCATAGATTTGCTTTCTTATGCCAAGACAATAAATTATTATAGAAGATTTCTACAGTGAACCTTTATTTTTCCCATAAAAATTAATCAGTTTTTTCTCATTAGAGATTTTAAAAACCCTTGACAACATTCCAGCATGATTGAAGACCATATGCTTAAATAAAAATTTTAATTAAAAACAATCATTTAAAAAGAAACCAATTTATTTTAAGAAAAATAATTGGATAAATTTTTTCTTGCAATTCAAGTTATAAAATTAATGATGATTAATGATAATATCAGGTCCCATTACATCAAGCAAAGAGTTATAGAAAAACTTTTGTCATTAATTTAAATGTATCACTTCACAAAGGATACAGTGTTGAATTAATTCAAATTTGTAGTGTGCAAGCTTTTCCACAACATAATAAATGGTTGCTGCTAGCAGAGCTGTTCCTAATCCAATGAAAAACATTACCAACCACTTACTCAACCATCTCAGAGTCACCCATTTCTATAATGGAAAATAAAGTATTCAAGAGTTGACCTCTGATATTTATCTCATATTTAATTTAGGGCAGTTGATGGAAAATTGCTGTTTTTTCTTTAATTTGTGCTTATTTAAGGAGGAGCAGGACCTTGAGCTGAAAAAATGTAATCATTTTTTTTCATATTTTGTATATATCTAATTTCGTATGTCCTGCACATCTTAATTAAAGTAGCTCCATCATCATACTTCATTTCTTATTCATTGCTCTTTACAGTGTCTGTATGAAGTTTTGATTATGTTTATGAGTCCAATATTGAGTCCATCATAAGAATTTTTAGCATGAATAAAAACTATGTAAGAGGATATGTACAGTACCTGCAATGTTACTCTTGACATAATACATCATAGGATAGGATACAGGCATGATATGATAGGATAAACACATAATACAATAGGATTGATACATGATACAACAGGTTAAACAGTCTTCACGAAAAATGCAAAATCTGATAAATGCGCAAGTTTATAATGCAAAATCTGATAAACGCACAATACAGTAAAAGCAAAACCTGAAAGGATACACAAGTGGTTAATTACAAATTTGTAAAAAACGAAATGTTACATGTATTAATATGAAATAACTATTTCAATTTTTTAATAAACACAATTTATGAACATATGTATTTATCATTTTCACTGAAGTTATTTTAACATTTTATACTATGTAAACAACTGACAAAAGACTGAAATACCGTTTATTGGATTTTTTTTTTTTTTTTACATATTGCTAAATTATTAATTTTAATTTATTGTTTCATTTATACATAAGAATTAAATGCATACATTTTCATGCAAAAAAAAAAAACAAAGGTAAAGATTCAAAGTATTAAAATTTGTAAATATTTTCCTTTTTAGCTAATCTACCAGTGCATATGTGTACCAATTTTCAACCTCATTCAAGGACATGAGAATTGTGTAATGTGTAAATAAGTTTTTCTCCAAATGAAGGACACTGTTTGGTTTTGGCACAAGTACCTATGTCTAGAATTTTTGGGGGATGGGTAGGAGTGAAAGGGCTTCTTAAAAGGATACAAAAAAGTTCGAGATAGCCGAGGATTCCAGATATTGAGTGTAAAATACTTAAAGAACAATATGTGTTTGGGACTTCCAAATCATTTTGGCATATCCATGGTATTCTAGATATCAGAGTTTGAAATACCGAAGTTTAACTGTATTTACTGAAAATATCAAAATACCTAGCAAACTATAACAGCTAAGATAAATTTTATTTTTAAACCAACGTTTATCACAACTTTATAATTTCCAGTAAATAATTCTTCATTAATTTGTACAAAATACTGATGAAATGTATGTGAATATAATGAAATCTTTAGTAAACATTTATTTAACTTTTCTTTTACAATTCTTTTCAATGTCGATTTTCATTATTCATTTTTCTTTTTTCTAAATCGTTAATTTATGTAGATAGGAGTACCTCAATCTTTTTCTTGATAAGGGCGGTAAAATAAGATGCCTTCCAAATGCACAAATAAACAAAAACCTTGATAAATGCAAAACTTGATAAACGCAACATACGAGGGGTTATCAAAAAGTTCGTGGACTGATGCGATAAAATTAATATTATGCAGTCTTTGCTTACAAAATTTATAAGAAACATAAAACAACAGAAGTTTAAGAAATGTTGAAAATTTTAGTTTGATATGTTGAAAATTTTCCAAATCATTCTAATTAAAAATGAAAAAGACATGATATGATCACACGGCGCTGTCGCCGTTTAGTTTCATGACGTCCAACAACGTCATTGTTTCTCCATGTCCGCTCTCTTTACCTCATACTCTTATCTTGATGACATTACCTGGAGGCAAGTAAGGACTTAAACCCGTCTTGTTTATATGACTTTACAATGTCATGAACAGCTGCTTTCAATGCATATGATATTGTAAATGGATATATAGATAGGGAAAGATCCTCACCTGATTTTGCCAGAATACTTAGCTTGATGGAGTTCAATGTCTACCACACATGATCAACGTCACTTTTCGACGTGACTGACTTTTGACACCCTGACTACAAATCAACATTAACTGTGCATCTTTCATCTCTCTGAGTCTTTTTGGGCATTTAAAAACAAGTACTCTGGGTGCATGTTATTTTTCTGTAGCCCGTTTGAAAATTCCTTAGGTCTATACCAGTTTTTCCAGGTGCGAAACTTTATAGAATGCTGGAAAAAGAAACCCCTCTGCCTTTCTGACGTCATTTACAAGTCCTTAATTTTTTTGACACCCCATATAAAATTTACTTTATTAAATTTCATAGAACTTACAGAATGGGGTAAAAATTTCAAATTTTACAGAACAGTTGTGTCGTACTACATGCCTGAAATAACGGGATTTTTTACTGACAAATGTTCACATCGAAAGAGTTTTTCAGTTTTTCAGTTACACTCAGGTAGAGTGGACATACCATTGCTTGCAAAAACATCAACAATTTATTAAAAAATAAAACTAATGATTTATGGTTTATTCTATAGATAAAAAAGATGATGCTTACTAAATATATTAAAATTCATTGATGTACCAAAAGCGATTTTAATTTTATGGCGCTAGTCCATGAACTTTTTGATACCCCCTCGTACGCTACGATAAATGGAAAAATCTGATAGGACACATGCACGATACAATAGGATACACACACGAAACAATAGATACATGCACAATAGAATTGTCAAGAATAACATTGCACGTACTGTATCTCTTCAAATATTTTAAAATCTGAATTGAGAATTTTTCAAGCAAGTTTTTTTCACATAGATTGGATAAATTACTCACATTTTCAGGCTTTTATGTGAAAAAAAAATTCATTTGAGAAAAAATTCTATCAATAATATTCAAATTTTACAATTGGACTTAAGTCCTCCATTTTAATAACTTTATACATGAGTAGCGATATTTAAAGGTGAAGCTTACCTCAATATTGCACAGGACATTGTTGAACAAAATAAAGGTGTGATAAAAAAAGCTTCATCTCAAAATTTTCTGACAATGGGTAAAACAACTATGATGTCACACAGAAACTTAAAAAACCAACTATAATATAAATACATAGAATCTCTGCTCTCACACAGAAATTATCATTGTACTTGATCTTGCTGCAATAACAGATCATATATGACATCACTGACTTGTTAGATACTGCAGCGTAAGGAAATGGAGAAATGAATCGATTTATTTCACAATTTGTAAATACATGGTACTGACTTATTCTTTAAAAAACTTTTGAATATTTTTATATGTTGACGCTTAACAAGTTGACAAAATTTACGCAACTACTGATGATTTTAACAACAATTAGCATCTGTATATATAATAGAGACTCATGTGACATGTCCTGCTTCTCCTTAAATTAATAGACAGATATTTCTTTAAACATACAACATATACAATTAAGGTCATGTTAATTGTTAGTGTGAAAAGTGACTGGCTGCATGTATCATACTTAAGTTCTAAAGATAAAAAATATCTGAACCCTACAGTGCTTGTACTTTAAGGATGGATTCTTCTCATATTTCTTATAATGGCAGAATCTTGATTTTCTGAATACTCAATATTCAGACTGTTTACACTTTTTTAACATCCAAAAACTTTGGTGTCATCGGCCTTGATTTTCAGTCAAGGTCATTTGAAAGTCAGTCCTAAAAATAGTACTTTTACTCAGAGAAATTTGAAATTTATGCATATGAATAAATTTTGCTGACTGAAAAAATATCTTTCACCATAAAATTAAAGTTGTTACTTATTTTTGATGACTAATTCATATGAAATGAGCTGGTGAAAAGATAACTTGAAATCCTTTATATTCAATAAATACATTTAATCCGAATTTCCTTGATATTTTTTCAAAATTCTCACTTTTCATGAATTCACGTGAAATTTCATCTCAATTTTTACAACTGACCATATAATGTCAAATATTTAGATTTTTGTCTGATGAATATTCAAAGGTTCAAGATTAATTTACAAGGTAAAAAAGATATAGTAATCAGGCAAATTATCAAAAAAAATTTAGCCCGAATTTGCTCTATACTTTCTGACATCTTCAATTTACAGAGTATTTTTAATGTCTATAAGAAAGATTTTTACTCCCCCAAAAATATATCAATTTGGTGTAATTGTGACATAAACATTCATTTCTACCAGTTATACATTCTATTTTTATGGTATTTTACACTAATGATATTCAAAATATTCATTTCGAATTTCCTCTGTCTTTTTATTCTTATGAATGTTATGTTTGACAATTTTATGAAATACATCAATTTTCTAGTGGCAATTACAGAAAAATTATCACATACATTCTTCACATGCACAGGACTAATTCAAAGCAACTTAACCTTCAATATAACCAGGAATAAATAATAAACCTTCCAAAAAATTATGAGAAAAATCATACATAAAATTTTTATAGACTAGAAAAGATTTCAAAACATTATTTATGATATAAACATGTATAGTGAATATGCCATATGAATCTAGACATTCAATGTTTACATGTATAGTGAACATGCCATATGCATCTAGACATTCAATGTTTAATTAAGAATATCAGAGGGACTAATATACATGCCTATACATGTATATGTAGTTATATACATATAGGTCCCTGGTATTATGTTATTATTGGATATTTTACATTTGTAAACTGAGCTTTGAAAACAACAAACAAATTCAAAGAATTGTGGTCCCCCGCTTTCGATGTCTTAGTGGATAGGATGCCATTATTTATGGCATATTGTAACTGTCTTGTTTGTTTGTCCTGTCTTATCTGTGCATCATACAAAAAAAGACATAAATTATTGAATTAATAACAGTTATGGCAAAGACTATAGCTTCTCAAAACTACATCAAACTTCAAGATCAAGGTCATGAGGTCAAATATCGTAATAAAATCCAAAAGATCTTACAAGTGATGCACATGTAAAAAAAAATATCAGAAACCAGAGTATACAATCAGAAAGATCTTGAAACAGGTAATGCACATGTCAAATGTAAATACCATATCTTCTCTCTATCAAACGTTATTAGCAATGATAAACTTTTAAAAAATTAGGTCAAACTTTAAGTTCAAGGTCATGGGATTAAAAATCATAGTACATTTGGAAATGCTTGTCACAGGTAATGCACTTGTCAAATATGAATGCCCTATCTTTGCTCCTTCAAAAGTTAGCAAACTGATGAAATGTTTGAAAATTAGGTCAAACTGGAAGGACAAGGTCACGGGGTCAAATATCATAGCATATTCAGAAACGTTTTGACACAGGTAATGCACTTGTCAAATATGAACACTTTATCATATGTCATTCAAAAGTAATCACCGAATATAAAATTTTTGAAATTTAGGTCAAACATGAAGGTCAAGGTAAAGGGGTCAAAAATTATAGCATGCTTGGAAACACTCTGTCACTACTAATGCACATGTCAAATATGAAAGCCCTAACTTTTCTAAATCAAAAGTTATAAACAAAGATAAAAATTTTGAAAAGTAGGTCAAACTTCAAGGTATTGGTCATGGGGTCAAAAATCATAGTACATTTGGAAATGTATTCTTACAGGTAATGTTCATATTTAATATGAAAGCCCCATCTTTTCTCATTTAAATTTAATGGCCAATTTAAAGAAATGTTAATTTTTTGAAAAGTAGGTCAAACTTCAAGGTCAAGGTCACGGGGTCAAAAGTCATAGTATAATTTCGAAAGGTCTTGTCACAGGTAATAAACAGGCATAATATGAAAGTCCTATCTTTTCTCATTCAAAAGTTATGACCAATTTAAGGTAATGTTAATTTTTTTGAAAAGTAGGTCAAACTTCAAGGCCACAGGGTCAAAATTCACAGTATATTTGGAAAGGTCTTGTTACAGGTAATGTACATGTGAAATACAAAAGCCCAATCTCTTCTCACTCAAAAGTTATGGCCAAGATTAAAGTTTTTGTGACAGACAGACTGACAGACGAATGAGATTTAATGTCACCTCTCTTTCGCGAAAGCAAGGGACAATAAATACCTACACACATTTATAAGTATATAGTTTGTTCAGCAACAATAAATATAACTCCTCAATGTGATCATATATTGCGTAAACTTAATTTGCTGGAGTTTTAAGATAACAAAAAAGCCATCTATGACAATCAAATGCCCTTTGACATCTTTGCCTGAAAATGACATCCTTGAACTTTGTAACAATAATATGCATGCAGCTATCAAACCTAATTTCACATTTAGATGCGAAATACTTATTCAAGGATGAAATATCTTTTTGAGAATTTGTAACACAAACATTTATATATCAGTGTCAATAACTTGTATTGAAATTGAATTAAAAATTACCTCTTGAGGGTTTCTACTGCAAGTACATGACTGTATATTTCATTTGTAAAAATCAAAATTTTAACCCGGCCACTACCAGCAATTTTGTACGGCATGCTCTTGCTTAAAATCACCCTTTAACTAAATGATCTAAAGCAGGCACATTTTTATGCATTTCAGAACTGTATTTTAAAATTGTATCTGTATTTGCAAATGTAAAGCAACTGAATACATAGAGCTAGGTATATATCATTTACAAGTTGTTGTAATGCCAGTACATGTACATGTAAATCTTCACATTGCATTCTAATGAAAGATAATGCTTGAAAAATTCACTCTGGGAATAAGATTTCAAATCTGAATCAAAGATTTTGTAAAGTAATCACATTCTACAAAGCGTGCACTGTATCGGGTACTTGAGAATCAAATAATTAAACGTTATATAATTATAAATAAAACTATTTTTGACTGAAAGTTTCTGAAAAAAATCAAGAATGGAATCATGCAACAAGCAGCAGTGACTCTGATAACATGCATTGACTTCCACATTTCTAAAAAAAAATTTCTTTGATCAGATAAATATGTGATTCCTGCTTCTGACATGATATATTCTGAGAAAATCTCTTTTTCACAGACAGCCATCATTCATTTGATGTGAGAATTTCTTCCTGAACATGTGTCCACCTGGTGAAAGTCAGAATTTTTTGTTGACCTATAATTTTAAAAAAAAAGTAATATATTTTACATAGCAGCACAGATGCTGCATTACATGATAGTTAGATAAAGTTGTGTCTATATTTCTTATACATGTACCTCAATAGTCCATCTGCCAGCACTCCCTGCTCAATCATCCTGCATTTTGACCTCCAGTCTTTTTTCTAGTCTAGGGTAAAGCAGGGTTGTTTTTCTCCTAAGAATTAAAGATGAACATCCCTTTTCACTATTTTTTTTTTCAAATTAATGAAAATTGATTATAAGATTAAACAACTTATCTCATCTGTATTTCATTTATTGATTTCAATGAATGAAGATATTTTAATAGATTCTACCACATGTATAATGTCTTATATTATAATGTGTTGGATATAAATAAATAGACATTTTTTATCTTAAAAGTACAGAAAAGTAAAAAGACAATAATATAAATAGTTTTTAACAATAATGTTTCATTTTGCTCTATTTATTAGACAATTGTGTGTTTCAATATTATTGATATTTCCACATACAATATTAAGTTATTTTTCCGTTTGATTTGTACCCGAGCGGAACACCTTACTTTTCTAATAACTTGATGATTGTTGTGTCTTGAACAAAGTAGTCTAGTTAAAAATATAAATTTGTTGTAATCATATACAAAAAATGCTATTTTTGTGAATTATTATTCATAAACCTGACGAACACACGAAATATATCCTCTTCAAATGTTGACAAGTCGGGGGAATAAGCAGACGAAATATTGATAACAGATCTATAATTTCCGTGCGAATTCCCATAAATCAATACAAACCAGCATGTAATTGAATTCAATTTCAAAATTATAAAAATCTTCAGACATATAACGTTATAACTAACTTACATGCTCACTGCACACGACATGACATCAGACGAGGCAACGTGGATCTGCAATCTTGCACATGTTTGTGACCTTCAAGTTGATCGGAATGCCCCGGGCATAAATAACTATGATTTAATTTGTCATAACTGTCCGTGGGCTTCTGGAATGCTTCAATAATGTTCACAGTTTGTAGGTTTTACAAAACAACCCTCTCGGGGTTTTCTACGGAAAATGATCTGGACATGTTGACATTCGCTACCGAACTGCGAATATTATGGCGATTGTCGCAAATCCAAGAAAATATTACGAAAAATTTATATATTTCAAAAGAAATAGATTCAACATTACTTAAACTGACAAATTAACTAATAGTTTTTCCTTCAGTATAATTAAATATGAATTTTGCATTTTACGACTTGCATAATTTATGGAGACCCATTGACGACGTAAAATGCTGACAAGAATCCATCCTTAAAAATTAATCATAATCACCTTTGACTTATACTTTTCTTGATCTTTAAGGTACAACACATTCTCACATACATCATAATTCATGCTCTGAAACAAAACAATTTTCACTTATTACAATAGTTTTGGCTTGGGTGAGATTCACGGAACAAGAAAAGAAGGTAGTAAACTAGATGAGATAGGTCTTCTGCCCAATTTCTGATGAGATAAGATCTTGAGAATGATAGTTTTATTGATAAAAGGAACAACTTTGGAAGAAAAAAGTATTCAAAATATGCTTAGAAACAAATAAAAGAGTGAAATCTATCAATTTCAGACAACACCCATTTCCTTTTTATTTACTTTCAGTATGACCAGACATGCTCAGAATGACTTAAAACTCCTTATTGAGCATTCATGAATCATCATTTATCAAAACATAAAATTGGCCATAAATCATGACCGTAAGTGATGACGGTAAAATTTTAAAAAAACATCCATGTTGAGATGATTTGCCAACACTGCTGAAAATTTCGATCTTTATTTGAATAAACTTGAATCCCTTTACCCAAAGCTACATTCTGCAAAGTTTTTAGCTATACATGTACATCTTACAAGTTTTTAGCTATACATGTACATCTTACAAGTTTATAAAATATTCATCTTTCATACATACCATGGGATATTTTTTTCTCTGTTTAATGATCATGAATGCAATAATGTTTGATTAATGATATACAATCATGAGAACAGAAATAAAACAAGAAATGTTTGAGAAACACATATCCCCCATGTGGCAATATGAAAAAGGGAACATCTTTAAATTATAATGTCCGTAATGATAGTGAAAACAATTGGTCAACTACTAGTCAGGGGCTGAAATTTGATCTCTATCAGACCTTTACATTATTAGGGGTAATTTTTTTCTACTCTTCTGTTCAGGGGGTACCAATGTATCATGTTTGATGTCTGTTAAGCAAAGGGTTCTAAAGATATTGAGCAGACAACACTTGGCCAATCGACCAATATATGGATTGATAAAGAGGGCAAAGAATTTTATTACAGGAAGAGAGTAAATATGATGGACCAGAGAAATTTCAAACCTATGCAGTGAACATTTGACAAGTACTCTACAAGCTGAGCTATCTAGTCACTTGCAAATGAGCCTGTTTGACTGCCACATTCCTCCCTTCTTAAAGGTATTTTGCCCCCAAAGACACCAACTAGGGCTTTTCATTAGACCTTTCAAATGTCACTTTCAATTAAGGGCATGCTACAACACCAGAAGTAACAGGGAGAAAATGGAGCACAGACCAGACCAGGATTATAACCTGAGCACCCTGAATTCCACTTATTTTAGACTGGTGATCTGCCAATTGAACGACCTGGCCACTGGCTAATGAGCCTGTCCAACAACCATAAGAGGCTCATGTGCCAAAATGCTCATCTGATTTACACTAGCCCTGCAGAAAAAGATATTTCTTTTCTTCTCTATTCATATGAAAAAATTTAACCCCTTATTGTGGCCTCACCTTAATCTCTAAAGGGTCATGTTATAAAACTTGAATCTACAAAATATTGAGATGCATCAATATCAATATGACTAACATGGTCCTGTTCTGGAGAAGCTTTTTACAAGTTTTATTTTTCCTGTTGATATACATGTATTAGGTACAATTTGATCCCTGACTTAAGCCCCACCCTAACCCATGGGCGACAATTTGATTGATTGCAGTTCTCCCTTGCAAAATTATTTCATTCATATGAGACAACAGATATTTGGTAAAACTTGCATCCACAACACAACAATGGGACCTGCTTCTCTTGAAACAAATTGTTTACACTGAATTACTATTTATTCCAAAGTAAATCACCTATATTCGCCATACCCTGAACCAAATTTCCACAATGTAAACTTGAATCTGCAGTACCTGCAGGGGATACTTGCATATTAGTATGAAAAATTATGGCACTGGTCTTGAAAAGATTTCCAAATTTTTTTTCTACATATTCCAACATAACACTAAGATCCCTTATTGTGGCCCTACCCTATCCTATCCATTCAAAAAAAAAATTGAAGCTACACTTTCTGTAGATGCTTGCCTATTAATATGAGTAATCATGACCTCAAAGTTTATGAAAAGATTTTTTTTTTAAACTTTCCACTATTAATCCCCATGTTTAACTTTGATCCCTACTGCAGCCCATCCTACTCCTGAAAACAGCAAATTCAACAAAGACTTTTGAAGATTTTTTTCCTATAAATAACAATGTAAAAGGTTGATCCCTTATTGGGGCCTGATCCTACCCTCGTTTTACAAAAGAACATACCACCAAGACCAAAAATAATATTATGCGAACAACTTTCTTTTTTACACTTATTTGAAAATGGTTTTAATCTTTAAAAAAAAAAAAAAAAAAAAAGAATTTAGAAAGGTATTTTTATGCAATTTTTCAGAAAAACATTAGTTTTGTAAGATTTCATGATCAACCGAAGTTTTTGGTGTTAGTTGCAAGTTCTTTTGTAAAACTGGTCCCAGGATTTGAGCAAATTTGGATCTACACTTTGGCTCAGGTGAGCTGAAACACTTCTTTGTTAATATTGTTTAACTTATTTTTCATTTTTAACCTTATAGACAAAAGGAATAACTTTAACCTGCTCAAAATTAGTAATGTGCCTTTGAAGAGACACAAAAGGTTCAATAAACGATCAAGTATAAGTTTTATACATCTGGAGAGTAGTGTGTAACCTGAGGGCTTTAATAATCAATAACATTATTCTTTTTACATGTTGATTACCTTTTAAGAATTAAATGGTCGTACAAACAAAACTGAACTGTAACATAAAGAACTTGAGGAATCGATACTTCACAGCCTTATAGTGAGAGAGTGACAAAGCTCAAGAGAGTTTATTCCACAACTCAAATGTTATATATTTTTTAAAAGTGACAACTCAGTGGGAGAGATAGTTGACCATCTAATATAAATTCATTTCTGGCTTGTGCTTTGAGTGTAAAGTGAAAAAAAAATCCCCACAGACAGCATTTCAAAAATCCATAATACTTTTAAAACTGACAAATTAAGACAACAAGGGACGGTTAATCTTATTAGACTTCGTGAACTAGTAATCAGATTTTTGTACAGCATATTAATTAAATGAAGAGCCGAGTAATTAGATTTGGTCTAATCAAATGGCACCTATAGTGAATTACTACAAATCACAACAAACTATACAGAGGATGAACCTAGTTTCAAATTTCAAAGGAATTTTCTGTAACTTATTATGAAAATTTTTAAAGAGTTTTTACAAATATATCATTTATATCATTTACAAATATACAAATAATATAATTAACAAAATAACATCACAGTATTTGTTAAGAGAAAATGTGGGGTTTGTATGAAAACTTTAGTTTATTTAACACTTAGGAAATTAAACTCTTTTCTGTGCATTGAAGGAAGTGTCAGGGATACCTACCTCCCATCTGGATACCAGCCTTTTCCTAAATCGTGGCGATTCAATACCATACTGTTTGAGCCTCTTCTGTATATCCTACAGCAATATATGTCAAAGTCAATACAGGTCTGATTCAATACAAATAATTTTATTCTTCAGGAACATTGTATATTCTAGTGTGAACATTATTCACAAGAACCTTGCTAAAACCAGACACTGTGCTGTTCATTTTTCTTTTAAAACCATCAACATACAGGGAGACAATATTTCTTTATCAATTCCTTGATATTTTAAAAACTCTTTTCTATCCAAGAAAAAAAGACATTAACTTTCTGTAGTAAAATAAACTCTTCTGAAATTGAACAAAGTAACATTCATCTGGAGCCTATGGTTGGTGATCTTCATAACTATTTTGAATTTAACCCTTGACCTCACCTTGAATTTGATGAACTTAACCCTTGACCAAGTTACCTTGAAGAACTTTCTTGGGGCAGTTTTGTGTCTGAGTTTTGTTCCTGCCCAGTGTAAAGAATAATAATGCTTTGAATGTGTTTTGGCATGAAAATGTTGCCTTACAAGAGTTTTGGAAGGTAATAGTGTTTTATTCTCTTAATCTGAATTTGTAGACTGTAGTGCTGTGATTGTCTTTGGACTTAGGTACGGTACTGTGATTCCATCATTTTCCATTGATCATAATTTTTGGTTGTTTTTGAAGTTGAATTAGACCAAGGAATGAGATGATCAACAAAGAACAAATTTTCTTAATGATAGAAAAGGACAAGGTAACTACAATAAATTTACATATAAAAGAAATTGTAATTTTTGCCAAAATTATGAAATCTGATGCCATAAAAATCAAGGAAACTAAAGTATATTGCCTTACAAAAGGTTTGGTGGACATATTCTTTGAAAATGATTTGATTTATAATGCTACATTATCCAGCATTCAGAGGAAGAGTGCTAGCTATGATGGTGATGTTTCATTCTGTTGCCCAACCCTTAATTTCTAAGACAGCAGCACTGTGATGTGTTTTCATTATGTAATGTTTCCCAACCCTGAAACTGGGCAAATCGGTGCCATGAAGATTTTTTTGTAAAGGAGTTTTGGCTTACCCTGAATTTGGAGGACAGCAGTGCTGTGATACTGTTGTGATTACTAAGAGTGTCTGCTTCATCATCGATGTCAAACTTTAACTCTGGTGTTGGACGAGCTGGCACAGTGTTGTTCAGTTCGTGTTCTTCTTCAGATACTGGTGTTACATGAAACTGAGTACAGTAAATAAAGAACTATTAATGAAGGTTTGTATAATTTTATAATAAATATCAAATATACAAGAAATTTTTTTTGCTGTTGTTGTTCATTTTTTGTGTTAATATCAAATTTCTTTCATTTTAAAATCTTGATTGGATTAAAAGCAACATTTGACCTATTTGCAAGCCAGATATAAACCAACATTTTGTATGAGGTATCAGAATATATGTACAGTTATTGTGGATTTATTCTACTGTAACAAGAGATTCTAAATGTACTAGTTTTTCATGCAAACTAAGTGCTTTATTTACAAGAAATATAAAATACAAGGTTTGAAATTCATTCTTTTGTTTACAGGCAATTTTTTATTAATTAAAAGTTTAATGTCTACAAAAACCAGTGGCTTGCAGGTAGTAAGAAAAAGTCAATCTATATATAAAAGTGCTGAAAAAATCTGTAAAATTCACAGTATCATATCTGCTGCTGTAAGTTTTCAGAAAGTAAAAAATCCCTCAATAAGTTAATATGAACACATCACTTTACATATTATTAACCTTTCTAAAACATACTGCTGGTCAACAATGAGTCACTTGGTTAACAACCCATGGTTTTCATGCATTTTTTGGGCAATTCTTACATTAGTGATCTGGTGTGTGTAACCTTCCAATACAAACAACTGTTTTATTCATAGTACTTTCAAAATTTGACATCAAAACACATAAAATAAACTCTTGAATTATTCTATTTCTTTGCAAATGTGCAAATCTTTGCAAATGATGGCATTACCATTGTCTATTCTTTGCTACAATAGATCCTAAAGCAGAAGGAAAAGTCTAGATATATTTTTATAATAATTTTCATCTGTATGTAATTCTATGACACATATGAGAACACTTTTTAAAATAGATTTACAACGTTAAATTCATAATTATATGTGTCAAACAGTCTATAAGCATAACTGGTAATCCTTACTTTTTTATCAAAAAATAAAGGTAAAATGAGAGATGCTAGAATTACATACTAGAATATCCCTTAGATTATACTTCAAGAAGTATTATTAACTGACCGGTAAATCCTGAAAACTGATTGCTCCCACTGTAAAAATGGTCACTTGCTGAATGGAGCGCACAGTCACGCCAGAGGCTGACTTAACTAACATTATTTCCACAATATAAAATGCCTACATTTTTAGTTTTTCACCATTTTCACAGCAGCAGTAAATTTTGGCACTACACCACTTCACAAACTAAGGTGTTTGCAAACAGAGAGCAATGACGCAGTATAGTTTGAATAAGTCTTGGAAATCAATTTCAGTACCAAAGACACAAATTTCACATACAGGCTAAAACAAAGTTTTCACATGGTGCCATTATCACTACAATAGAAAGCTTACAATTATTCCTCCACATGGTATGAAGTAAAATGGCTCCAATGGTGCTATTTTTTCTCATTCATTTTGGCAAAAAAAGACATAAACATCATACACTTACAACACTGGAAAAGAGTCAATTAAATTATCCTTCACATTTTTCATAATGGACTAGCATGATATAACTTCACAGAGTTTTTTTTTTTCAAGAGAAAAATCAATGACAAACAAAAAAGGCCGAAAAATTCAGCAGAACTTGAGTGAACTTTCAGACATTCCTTCCTAAATTATGGAGAAAAATATTTTACAAATTTATCATTTCACGTAAAGAAAATTGACTTTTTTTTTTTTGCACTATCACACTGTATTTAGTACCTTATGTATATATGTATCTTAAAAAATGCATTCAGTTTGCATTGAACCTTGCAGTATTCTCACATTGTTAATCTGAAATTAAGTATGATACAATGTATTTAAAAACAGAATGTAACTTGAGGAAAACCAGGCCAAAGTAATTGTTTTTATATACAAGACATAAAAACACACTGCCTAAGAAAGTTTGCACAATACCACTTTCTTGAGAAGTCTGTTTTTTGCTCTTTGGATCACTTTATTAAACACCTAATTGATTAAACAAGACATATACACATCAAGGAGAGCTGATGCCACATGGTACATGGAGAGCTAATTCTAGACCAGCAAAGTCAAACATATCTGGTGTCTGAAGCTTCTGGTTCAAGTATGAATCTGTGTATATATGTTTAACCCCCTTTATCAAGATTTTCAAGGGGATTCACAAATAGTATATTTTCTCAACTGTATGAGTTCAGCAAATAGATTCTTTGATTGCTTAAGATATTTTAGATGCACCTGTTTCATATCCTAATACCAAATCCTATGTACTCAAAATATAACTATTCTGAGCCAATCTCCAGTGAATTGACACAGAAAGTATCCAACATAAACAAAATTGTATCAAAACAGGGTTTTAACAAGGTCATTGGACTTGGTGGTATTGTTCTCAGTGGTGAAATAATAAAAAAAAAAGTTATTCTAAAGAAGTTTGCAGTTAATGATCTAATGGTACAGATTAAAGGTCTGAAAATTAACAACAGTTCAATCTGTTTAATATATAAAGAGCTATATGTGGTATATGCATATTTTTGCCCCCACAAAAGTCAAAAATTTTGAAAATTTCCTGAAATGTGATGAATTGTATATATTGTTTGAAAAATCAGAATTAACAATTATATTATAGTTTCAAAGTAGGTTTTTGGCAATATTTATTTCTATGACATCACAAACTATTTGGATTTTGTGTTATTTTTCAGAAAGGGGACAAAATATGGACAAAATTTGTTCAATTTTTACTATAAAATTTATAGAACGCAGGCCTGCTCCATAAGGCCAAATAAAAAAATATGTGTGGTTCCGGTTACCCGACCGTCCCTATTTTATACCCCCGACCCTAAACTTTTTTGGGGCAATTTTCATATTTTTTCCGCAATTTTCCCCGATTTCCATCAATGGCTCCGGTTTAAGTTTTAGTTTCAGCAATGATAGCCTCCTTGCAAAACATAGTGCAAGTGTTTAATAGTGTTAAATCCAAAGCAAGCTAGCATGTAGGTGTCCTCTACCAATATTTGACTAGTTTATTATTACACCACATCTAAATGCCACTTGCAAAGCAGTGATAGGTATTATTTAGAAAAATTAAGAAAATCATTTTGTTAAAAAAAAAAAAAAAAAAAAAATCCCTACCTACCTACCCTAATTTTTTTGGAGGTGTAACCGGAACCACACATATTTTTTTGTTTTGCCTAACAATATTCACTTATTTCATTGATTTTATCATTCTACACATTATATCAAAACATTGAGTTGAAGCAGACCTGCGCTCGGTGAATTTTACTCAAAACGTCAATGTCATTATTATACACCTTCTTTGTATAAATCATGGAAATTTTGAATTTACATCATCTTCCTGACATCATATCTAACATATAGCGCCATGGCTGATAAAACTATTTAATGCTTTGAAGTCTGCAGATATCCCCTAATTTTAGAACATATATATATATGTAAGACTCCAAAGTGCGATGGGACTCCAAAGTCCGATGGTCACACCAAAGTCCGATGGTCTGACATGCCAAAGTCTGACGGTGCAGAAAACAATTAACGTTTATGATATCATTGTACTACTTCGCAAAACTGCAATGCTGCGCCATGCCAAGGCCTGATTGTTTTTTTTTTTTAAATAAATACAAATAAATATTAAATGCAAGGACTAACCCTCATCTTTTGGATAGGTGCGAGACTCACCCTAATCAGTAGAAAAGTGTGTAACAACTATAACATAGATATCTTGGTTGGGTGCTAGACTAACCCTTATCAGTCGAATAGTGTGCGAGGACTAACCCTAAATCTCTCAGGTGGGTTCGATGTAATTCAATGTTACTCAAATAGTGTGCAAGGCCTAACCCTGATCAGTCGAGTGGTAAACGAGGACTAACCGTAGTATCTCTGGTGAGTGCATGCAATAAGCAGAATCAGTAAAACTGTATGCGAGGATGAATACTGAATTGATGGCTTTTGAATGCAGACAACAGCATCAGGGATTGACGTCGGACTATTGTGACGTCATAATTGTTGATTGTTTCTCTGCATCATCGGACCTTGGCGTATCAGACCATCGCACATTAGCGCAATGCATCTCATATGAAATGAGCCATTGGACTTTGGTGTGACCATCGGACTTTGGCATCCGTATCGACATCAAACCATCATGTTTTGGCGTAGACCACCGGGGTTTGGCAAGACCATCAGACTTTGGCCTGACCATCGGACTTTGGAGTCTTACATACATTTCTCCGTAAAAGTTTGCTTTCAGGGGCAAATATTGGTCATTACTGAATATAGTCCATTGTATGCTTCTTGAGGAGTAGCATACCAGATACATGTATTACAATTTCTAGTAACTAATATTCTCCATATTTTCATGGATTTATACATGTACATTAAGACTTTACAAGCATAAAACTAGATTCTATGCTTTTACCAGTATATGTATTGAATACCTCGAAGTCCGCGGGACCGAGGAAAAACTTCGAGAGATCAAGAGTTCAAGTTTTCAAGAGTCCGGAATTTTCCGGGTTTGTTGACAGGTTTTAAAATTAGTCTTACCGGATGTAATGAATTCATGCAGTGCTAACCTTTTACACGTGGTTATTATAAACAATATTTTTTCGTAATTCTGATGAAAATTTCATTAAACTGAGTAAAGCAAAAAATGTATATCGTCATTTCATGTATATTTATTTATTCTTCGATATATGGACATCAAACTATGCATTCGTTTCATGAAAACGGCATTTTACACCGACGTACATAGCTTTGACTATTCCAAAAATGATCATTGAACACAGTTCTGTAAGTATTTGTCCAATAATAGTCGTCATGTTGACATTGAGGCTGTTTCTGCTTTTTTTCATATTTCGTTTAACTTTGACATTGACTCGAAATAAAAATTAAATTAGTGTTTTGTCTTTTAATAAATAACTGCTTTTCAATGACACTGCGTCTCTAAATTATCGTAAGACAGTCGATGATAATTATAATAGCATATAGGCAAAATATGATTAATTA